AGCAAACCAAAGTTTTTTCGTCAGTATCCTAAATTCTCCTCACCTTTGGTTTCTCAAAGCCCATCAAGTCAACGATAGAGCCCATTTAGAAGAATATGGGCCTCGAACTAGTCTCTGACTCTATGAAGTATAGTTTAATTTGCATTCACAAATGGTATTCGAATAAACAAAGACATATATTAAACTCTCCAATGTTACAAGTGCAGTAACGGAAAACAGTGTAAAAACAACAATTGGTTTTAAAATTAGTTTAATAAATTCACAAAGAGTCAATGAGAAAATATTTCAAGTGCTTGAGAAACTCTTTCGACTTCTCCAAATTCACAGCATGTCCTGCTTTCTTTATCACCACTATCTCTGCATTTTCTCCTATATGACTGTTTCATTCATTCACCAATTTAAATATTACACAATTTCTTCTTCTTTTTATATACAAAAACAAATGTTAAAAATTGTTACCTTTTTAATCTGTAACCTAGTTCCAATGGAAATATTTGATCTTCTTCTCCCCATATGATCAACGATTTCTAATATTTAACCAAAAAAAAAAACTCAAAAATTTAGAAGAAAAAAGTTGAAAAGTAAATAAATATGTTTTAGTTTTTCACCTGTTTGATCTTAGGAAGATCAGAAAGTCTTCGGTTCTTGAGTATTGATTTAATCAAATCTCTCTTCTCTTCTACAAATTCCGTACACATCACCTTCACAATTTTTTTTTTCCAAAAAATCAATTAAACAAAGAAACCAAAGTTTTCTCAATAACGAAATTACACAAACAAAACAAACTCACATCGATAAAATCCCAGAGGGAAAAACGAAGGAACACCTTTAATNGGTTTAACGAAAGAGAATCTAATAAGCTCCTTAAGCTTTTCCGGCGACTGAGGAATCAAAATTCCGGTAGCTTCTTCAAGATTCGGTACCTTAAACAAACCATCCTCCATATCTTTCTCTTCCAAACAAACCCCAGCGCAACATAGCACAATCTTCTCTACTTTCTCTGGAAATTGCGCCGCTAAACTATACCCAACGAATCCACCGTAACTAATCCCAACGATATTCATCCTCTGTACTCCGTGCGCTTCCATTAACCTCATCAAACACCGAGCCTGAAACGATTCGGATCTATCCGGTTCCGATGTGGAAGATAATCCGAAAAAGAGGAGATCTGGAACGTAGACGTTGAATCGACCTGTGAAAGCTCGGAGATGTTCGCCGTATTGCCACATGGCGTTTGCTCCGAATCCGTGGACGAGGAGGAGATTAGGTTTAGATCGATTTGGGGATTTAGGGATCCAACAATGCATATCTGTTGATGAGATTGAATTTCCGTGAGTTAGATCGGTGGTGACGGAACGTAGACCGGCGTTTGCGAATGATTGACGGAATAACCAATCACGCGACGCTGTGAAGCTGAAGCAACGCAACTTTCATATGATCAAACATTTTTTGAGAAGAAATCAAAAACAATTTTTTTTGAAAATTGAAAACAGAGAGAAGAAGAAAAGGCGTGACGATGAAGATGATGCTGATTTTCAGTTATTTGTCGAAGAATCCATAATAAACGTGCCTTATGGTCCGTTTGTATAAATTACGAAATTACAATAAAGGACTTGTGGGAAGTTGTAATTTTATAAACTACCTTGAAGAATTTAAAGAAGCTAAAAAGACCCATAGTTTGAATCAAAGTTAATTAAGGTAGAAGAAGTTTCAATTTCCAATCTGTACAGAGAGGTAACAAGAAATTTTGAAAACAACTCACCCACAAAATCATTAATCTGTCACGAAACTGACTAATTTAAAACCGTTTCTTTTAGGGTTTTAGAAAATAAATGATAGCTTGGTGAACAAGAAAAGGATCGATAAAGAAATCCTTTTAGGGTTTTTTTTTTAACTCATATGAGTTTCCGGAGTCGCTTCTCAGCACCCTTTGCGGTCTTGTTCTGGGGTTCAAGGACCAATGCGTGCCTGAAATCTGCAGAGATGATAAACCATATGTTACGCTACAAAACCGTACCAGAAAAGAGTGATTTCGAATAGGACTTCCACAATAAATTCATCTGGAAAGCTAGATGGATTCAATCTGATAACATTCAGAATTTGGAAAGCAGGAATTTTAATTGGTTATGGATCAAGAGCAAGTCTGAGATAGTTTTTAGTTACCTGCAGCAGCTTCCTTGTACCGTATAAGTGATTCTCTAGCAGTCCCTCGTCTCAAATATGCTTTTACATTCTGTAGAAACAATAACTATAAGAATCAAACTTCCAAGTTCTTCCAAGTCTATGAATCATACGTGGCTGTGTCTTAAAAGAGTGACTGAAAATGAATGCAACAGCTACCAAAATTTAACCAGAAACGAGGATAGATAGTACAAATGCAAGTATTTATGAGAATAATTCGTTCTACAATTGCTCTAGAGTTCACAATCATTATGTCCCCAAATTC